CATCATATTGTCGACGTATGAATTTGCAGCGCACAACTTTTATTCAAAATACTCGTACATCCGTATTTTTATGAAAGAGAGGATTTCGAAATGGGAAACATATCATGAAAAAGTTGACCTATTTATGTTGTATATTGACCTACCACAGGTACAAGCTGTCGCCCGCGAGGTCGCACACGTGGAATTATAAAAGGACTAACTGTGGGTTTCAGGGACCAATATCCCAGTTTAAAACGTATTGTTATCTCTCTTTTATCAAAGATAATGACAAGGATGACAATATGTTGTATACAGATATTTCTGTCTCAAAAACCAACGGTAAGTTAGTTGTCTATGCACTATTCCAGACTGTAATCTATCTTAATTTCATTCAGATTTCAGCCGTACTTAACTTCATGCTAAAACATCCATCTATTCAAACATTCGGTTTTATATTAGTAAGATTAATATGCAAGAATTTTTTTTATTTTATATCATACGAGCTGACACCCTAGACTCCGTCTACGCAATTAGTAGCCTATGTGTACTTCCAAGCTATGTTCTACATCTATGCCAAATTTCATTGAGATCCCTTGAGTAGTTTCCGAGATAACTTCCAAACAAACATCCATACATCTAAACTTTCGCATTTATAATATTAGTAAGATGTTACAATCATTTGGCGCATACTTGGCTAATCTTGAGTCGTCTACTTCCTATTGACAGAATTAGACGCTCTGGAGGCCGAGCGGGTTGGAGACAGAGGACACACGATTAGACGTAGAAGTTGTATTAGTGTACACTAAGGGCATGTTTATGTTAATAATATAAAGAGCATACTCATTAAGAAAGTAAACATTCACGATACCTATAGTTCTAATTTTAATTTTTCAAGTTATTTATTTAAGAACATTTGTCATGAATTGATATTGTGTGGTCGCAAGTTGCCGCTGATTGGATAATCGTCCGCTCCGGATGCCGCCGCCGCGCCGCCTTCAGCCGCAATGCCCAATACTCACATGAGGACACGACTCGTCTTATTTTAAATATAATGGACATGCGAATGAAACACGATTGTTGATGTTCAAGCTGCATCCAAAAAAAATTGAAAAGTACTCTTTCCATTGCGAAATTTGTGAGGCTTTTGTGTCCATAATTTTACTTTTCCTTTAAAGATTGACTATGTACTTAATGTTAGGCAAATAGGACCAACTCTTGCTATAAGTTTAAAAATAGAAGTCATAATGAGGATGTTGTCTTTATCTAGAACCAGTTATTAATGATATTAATTTGAACTAGATCGTATGCAGAAATCTTTTAGGAAATGAAATTGAGTTGTTATAATTTGTATAGATGGTCTATTGATTCATTGTTGGTTAATTTTTTCAACGTACTAAATAATGTTACATTTTAGCGCTCCAATAAGTTCCTGTCCAGCGGAACGGACTTATTCCGTAACATACATGGAAATACAATTACGCAAGAGTTCTTTTCGATCTCATTTCCTTCCGACGCGACGGCGACGTGGCGTGGCAATGAATCTATCGTAAAGTGAAATCGTTAATCGTCACGGTGTACGGAACCACGCTTTATACCGCACGATCACGCGACGACAACGAAACTTAATGTAAACGAAATTCGAGCAGTTGATTAGTAAAGTCATAACAAAAGAATCGATCGATATTAAACTGTATCGTCGATATAAAAAAAAAACTTTTGATCGTATTGCACACATCTCTTATCTTGGTTTAAGATTTTAATAATTTTTGTCAAATTATTGGACGTTTACATCAAACCAATATTTATAAAATGTCCCTGAAGAAGGTTATTTAGCACTTAAGTGACCTTTGTGGGTGCGGATTACCCTTCTGTTGACTTATTTAATCATCAACTGTGCGTCCTCATGTCAATTAACGTGTTAAGTATAGGCTAAGATCCTGGAGCTATTTTTATATAAAACAAATTTTCGAACATAAAAATAAAACGATATTTTGTTACTTAAGTCTTGTATTTAATTTGATAATATTTAAAGTGTAATTAATTGAAGAAATTCATCAAGAAAATGTAGACGAGTTTTTTACCTTCGGTATTTAAATGTCGAAGTATATTTTTATATCAATGGTAAATTCAAATTTCGATGGAAATATATGAAACGAATGAACAAAATTGTTGCGAATTGGCAAAGTTAGATTGGCTGGAAGTTCGGTTACACTGAAACAATGTTGTAAACAGCCTTTCTATACTCATATAAAAATAATACTCAAAAATAATATTGAATCTAACACAAAAACACTAAGATTTAAATACTAAGTATAAATAAAATGCCAGACAATATTTATGTCTGGAACGTAATAAATAGTTTCATTTATTTCGAATATAAATTAAATTTTTACATTACTTTTTTTCATTGCTGGCCTGAATAGTTAAGATACCTTTGACTCTCAGTGACACGTTAAAAATATATTGGCATGTAAATTAAATTTTAATGGATAAAGGTGGAGAGAGGAGAGACGGGGGAGAAACGGGGCAGGTGAAGGATAAAAGAAATCGCGAAACACGAAAGACAATATTTTAATTTCCGAAACGTTTTCTTTTATACTTAACTTCAAAGATCGACATGATATGAACACAACAAACAATTTAGTATCATGAAATACAATATTAATTATGTCAAAGAGATCTGGCAACCAAAAAACTATTGAATAGCTCTCACTGATGAAATAGCTATGATCTTATGTTTATAGAGGGAGCTCTTTTGAAAAATAAAATCACAAACGCTCCCTTGTGACGTCACGTATGTACTAATATTTTCAGACAGCTTTAAAATTACACCAAAAACTAATAAGAAAAATAACATACAGTCGAGGACATTTATTTCCTACCCAATGATATTTCATTGAAGTTCACAATGCAATTAAGTCGAAAACTTGTCATACGTGTGTATATTCGATTCTAAATGGGAAGCGAATTAAATTCTTTCACAGCTCCGTTGTTTAGAATTTAAAAAAAAAATTGTAAGGTCAAGGTTAGCCAAATAGCGGCTATTATATTGTACATCAAACCGCGAGACATAACAAAGTGTTATTAAGAAAAACATCCATCAGTATTAACCAAAACATTTCTTTTGTAATGCTCTCTGAGGAAATTAAGGAAAACGTCGTATTGTACTCCTAATTTGGTTGATATAAAAAATTAATTGTCGAAATTAAATATCTACATCTTACTTATATTATAAATGCGAGTGTTTGAATGGATGGATAGATGTTTGTTTGAAGTTATCCCCATGTAGGCTGCATGGATCTCACTGAAATTCGGCATAGATGTAGAGCATAGTCTGGAAGAACACATAGGTTACTTAGTGAGATTTTTTAAAATCCCGTGCGGACGGAGTCGCGAGCGACTGCTAGTCGATAATGTATTATAAAAAAGTTATTAGAAAAAATAACATTTTCGCTTAAGATTTTATAATTTAACGTGTTTTATCTAATATTTTAAAGGCGTTGAATTATCAAAGCTCACTTATTACAAGCAGAACAATTCTTTGTATTTAAAAATATAACACTTTGGTGTAATATTTGAGTACCATCAAGTTTAATAAATAATTTAAATTTTCTCTTGTCGTACCAGAGAGAGAGAGAGAGAGAGAGAGAGAGAGAGCAATCTTAATTTAATTTATTTAAAAAGGCAATTAAATTGCAGCGTCTACGTCTCAAAGGTTGGCACCTACCAACGCTCAATGGGTATCAAACTGGAAAATTGTGGCTCTTTATAATATTTTTTAATTCAAATCTTACGGTGTAACTTGAGTTTTAATATTTAAGCATGTGGGAATACATCAAAGAAGTGCAGTCTTAAAGAAAGAAATGGGGAATATAGTCGACTAATTGGAGGGACAACTTCGTAATCCTTGTAAGCAAAATAAATGAGATGGTTTAAATAGGGTTGTCCAAAATTGTTTACTTTTAAATTAATATTTATTATTGGACATATAACTTACTATAATAAGAAGTATTTGGTTTATTTAACAGTAGCTGTCGCTCGCGACAGAAATGAGAAAAAAACTTAATTGGTAGCATATATTTTCTTCCAGAGTATTCTCTACATCTATGCCAAATTTCAGCGAGATCCATGCAGCCGTTCTGGAGATAACGTACGTTCTAACGTACATCCATTCATCCATCCAAACATTCGCATACTATACGTAGTTATTAATGTAAGTATCTATTTGAAAAAAAAATGTTGTTTAAGCCGGTTTATAAGTTTGTCGGCTCTCAAGAGTTATTAGGTTCCTAAGGATATTGATTGTCGGCCTAGACGAAACCTTATAAGATGGAGTCCACATAGTCGACCGTCTGCCCATATTGAGTACAGATTATAGCTTGTTTTTATTACACAAAGTGGGACATTTCAAAGTATTAAGCAAAAAAAAAATTAATAAAAATCAATGTAAAAGAGCTTAGTGAAAAACACACATTGTAAAAGTTGCCAGGACTAAAAAATACATTAGTTTTTAGAAAAAAAAACATATAAATATTTTAAAAATTTTATTTTCAAACTGTCCATAAAACAGAAAAAATTAAGGGTTGTATCCTTTAATTTTTTTTTATTAAAATATTAAATCTACAAATTATAATAAATCTGTTATGAAAACCACATAACAAGTACAGTTTATTTTAGACGTAATGTTTTATTAACATTTTTAATTATTAATAAATACAGGATGATTCATCTCAACAAGTAATATATTTTATTTAATAAACTGTTCTATTCACGAAAGGAAAATAAATAATCGTTTAATCATAGATGTACAAATGAAAATAAAAACTTATCCAGAAATATTTTAAAACAAGCGTTCTTAAGATATGACTCAAAAAGCTGTTTGTATTTATTATTTTTTATATTATATAAAATAAAGTTAGTAAATAATATACATTGACGCCCGTAACAAAGAGGGGTTGCCAGAAATAGATTTGACGTTGGTGTCGAGCTTTTCAGCCAAAAAGCTCAAAAGCTGTTAATTTACGATATCTTGATTTGTGGATACTGAAAATCAAATAAGTCTAAAGTCATCTTATGTACGATGGACTTTGACAAGTTTTATGATTGATAAAAGAATGTTATGTCAGTTCAAATGTATGTGATAATTATTACCTAATAGAGATCATGTAATGACAGGGGCGCTGCCAGCAGTTGACATCGGTAGACACCTTGCTCATCTCGTTGACACCTTCGCGACCTTGCGCCGAACGCCGAGGCTGCACCGCCACGTCCGCAAACAAACCCAATTCATATTGTCATCTCACGTTATACACAACAACTACGAAGACAATCTGTCAAAAGATTTTCGAGCGACTTTTGACCTTATGGCTTTACAGTTAGTGAGCAGGTGGTGTTAGCATATCGGCAGATCTAGCCTTGTATCAATTAACAAGGTATAAACAAACGATTCATTGTTTTCAAGTTGCACGCAGATGTAAAAGTGGATATCGGTCGGTGGGCTACCTCCCTCGCTCAGTCGCTCCGCGTCGCTCCAACGGCGCAGATCGCGTCGCGTCCGCACTTCGCCACGGCCGATTCTATAATAACACGTCGTGTGTGATTCGGATTCGAAATTCAAATATTGAGTGATTAATTTTTTTTTAATTTCGTCTGTGCACTGTGCCAGGATTTTTATTCTGCCAGACCAAAAAGGTATTTATTACTATATTGTATTTATTATGTTATTACTATTTATTGTCTTATTGGATATTGTACAGGCCTAAGTAAAAGGAAAGGGAAACTCTTTTATTAGCAAAGGTAATGTTCCAATAAATTTGTCAGTTATGCTTTCTGATCGCGTTATTTAAGGCTGAGAACTGCATTGTTCCATCGACAATTTAATTTTTTTTTAGTATGTATTAGTTGGAATGGTATTGTTTCCGTATTTTTTTTTTATGAAATTGATACAGTCAGCTGAGTTTTAATTAGTAATGTTCGATACTTCCCGTTCTATTGATATTAACAACCCCTTTATTTGAAATTTTTATCGACACGACATACAACATTACCGTTTGTTATTTTATAAAATTATTGCCCAAAACTAATAAATTTTAAAACTATGAATTTACTCGAACTTATGAAACATTTTTAACGAAACTTTATTAAAGCTTTGAAGTAAGTAGAACAAAGGTTTTTAATAAAGTTGCCTGTACACATATAGAGCTTTTTTGAGTCGGCGGAATATTCAAATTTAAATTAATAAAAATATAAACATGTTTAGTAGTCGGGTCTTATTTATTTGCATTTAAGGAAAACATCTATCGCTACCAGAGCTTTGATTTTGTTTTGTTATTGCAGATTATGATGAAGGCTTTAATTCATTATCATTATTTTTAAAACGCTGATCAATTTTATTTAAAAAAAAAACACAATAGCTATTTATGATTTAAATTAACTAATTTAATAATTCTTAAGAGAGGTAAAACAACTCCTACAATAGATATTCCTAGATAGGAATATAACAGCTTCATAGTTCCTTCACAAAACTGACAATTAATCGTGTATAAACTTGTGTACTTCTAAACCAGGACAGTGGTAGCAACTAGGAACTACCGAAGATCACAAAAAACTAGTGTAAACTAGACAAGAAATTATACTTAACTTAAATTGTTTGCTTAAAAATAGAGCTTTTTGGAATTCTAAAAGATTCAACACTTACGCATGGTTAAATTAACAGAATCTTAACGTAGGTTTTATATTACATTTTTACTAAGCGACTAATAAAAACGAGTGCAACAGTTAGTCGTATTATTACTAATATTATAAGTGAGAATGTTGGGATAGTTGGTAGAAGATATCTCTAAAACAACTGCATGGAACTCGCTGAAAAATAACATAGTCTGGAAGAACAAATAGGCTACTAATTGAGTTTTTTTTAACCCTGCGCAGACGGAGTCGCGGGCGAAAGCTAGAGCTGAAATAAAGTTTAAATCGATGTAAGAGTTCAATGAGGTGTTGAACATTTGGTGTTGCGTCATTTATTTTAAGATGGGTCAGAGATAAACATCGGTACAACAATGATGTTGACGGCCAGTGCCAGCGCCGCGCGCCCGGAACACCTCTGTTTACTGAGCCCGTCAACTCGCACAATACGATACAACTTGTTTTGTTTGTATGTAAACATTAAACATATTATTTCGGGTCGTCGAAATGCAGAAGTTCGTTTTTAACATGTTAATTGTGACCACCTGTGTGGTTGAATGTCATAATTATAATATTTTACGTGTTAATAGCGAACAATTCGGAAAGCCAACAAAATTTCAATGAATTTTCTGTTTTTCGCTTTTGTTCAATCGCATTTTGTTGGTCGTCAAATGGTGTTAAATTGCCAGCTAATGTTGAGTTAGATAAACTGCTGGATATATCATTTAACAGTGGTATAACCCGCAATAACATATTTTGCACAAACATAACTGCTTGATCAGTGTAATACAACGACCACATAGAAGACAGACGTCAAGTGGAAGCAATTTCGCGTGCAGTTCGAGTGGTGTGTGAGCCGGAGGCCTAATTTAAATCTTTTACCTTTGCACCCGTTTCTTATAAGGAAGGTATGGGAAGGTGAATTATGCAGAAGAGGGAAAGAATAAATATCCTCTTTTTCTGCGTACTCTGTCGATTAAAAGTAGGAAACGCAACTAAAAATAAAGATGTCTATCTGAAACTAAATATAAAAATAAAGGGCAACGGTCACTTCGATTACTGCAGTTTATTAAGAACTAAATTGTTTTAAAAATAATTAAAAATAAAAAAATACTTTTACATATTGTAGTTGTTGGTATGATAATATTTTTTTTAATTCTGTATCTTTATAAAGGATGATCAGTGCCAAGTATGTAAATATTGTACCGCAAGAGACAAAGTAAAAAAAAAATAATCCCGCGACTACGGCGCAGCGCCGCTGTGAGAACGAATGCAAAGTATTTCACGAATCACATTTTTTACGTATATTTTTGCATGAATTAAAATTAATTGCAAATACAGTTTTTAAAACAGAATATTCTTAACAGTTTGGATAATTTCATCGCTTTGTTTTAGTGACAATATGTAAGACCATTATGAAAGACTTCAAGAGTCAGACATTAATTCGTTAGTACTTAAACAGTTTACAGATTTTGATGAAATATTAAATATCGTTTGAAAAACACTGACTTATAGAGGATGTATCCGATGGTTCATTGTAAAAACAAGGTATAACATGGAACATGAACAGCAGATATAAAGTGTTCAAACACAAAAAATGTAAGAAAAATAACGTAAACAATACACGAACAATCCCGAAGTCGGCGAACAACAGTTTTTTACAAGTCGACAACAAATAAGATAGAAGATTACAGCCGAATTTGAAAAACTTTTCAAAGTATGCGAATGAAATAAAAATGTGGCTGCTAGATTCTTCTGGCAAAAAGCATTGGTTTTTTGATAGACGCGAGGGCCTTCACCAGTCGACCACAAAAACCCATTCTCGTGGCTTTTTTCATCGGCACCGAGCTGTTTGTTGTGCGGAACACTCAAATATGACATTGAAACAGTTCGATTCGAGTTAAGGTGAGGACTGACTATAGTGTAACGAACATTCTAACAAGAAAGACAAGGTGGAATGTGTAATTTTAGTTCGCATTGCTATTTTCAGCCGGTAACCTAAAAAAAGACTAATTAGAAACCTCTTCCTTTTATAAGTCTGTTAATGAAGCGCCGATGTTCCTTTTCGTACTATTTACTATGAAATTATTTAGGTTAAGTACACTACACTAACACTGTTTGTTCTTCCTCAAGTCCACTAATTTTTATACCTTTAACTTGATAGTAATCTTATCAGAAAATTGTAGAGTATTTACAATTCAACGTATTTACTAAGCGTTGTTCCAACGGGACACAAGTTCATTGCATTTTCAGATGATTGTATTATTTAAGCAATTCGTAGCCACATTGGTGCATTATGCATTTGTTTTGAATAATTCATACCCCCTTGTACTGCGGAGATGCTATGTTAATTCTCGAGATTATTTCACGGAAATTATACAACGTAATGAAAATCGTTACTATACAATGAAGATCATGAGATTTCATTTTAAAATGACGTTATTTTTAAGACATTTTATGCATGTTTTAGTGTTACAATTTAGTCTTCTAACTAACCCAGTAAAATAGCGGAAATTAAAGGCAAATAAGTTTTCTTTTAAAAAAAAGTAACTCAGTGAAAATGTGAATGTTTTAATTCAATCCTGTTCGATATTGATTATATTGGTTACTATTTTAAGGTTTTTAATATATTTTAACACTTAAAATTATATGTAACCACTCTGGTGTGTTGGCAACTTATTAAAATTGAGCTTATTACGTAACCGTGTATAGCTTCTTTATATAATCACAGCAGTAATTACTCGAAGGAATTAATATTTAAAATAATGAACATTATCGTTGTTGGCGCACCGTGAAGGTTAACTGCCGGTTAACGTGTACTATACTTTTTATTATAGAGTCAGTAAGTATTCAGTTAAATTGAAATTAAACGAATAAAAACACGTTTTAGGGAAGCAATATGACTTACAAGATATATACAAATATAAACCTAAGTATAGTCCAACAAGGATATCTGGCCCGATGAGAGAGTTGCTTCTGTCGTAGTTTGTTATCAGAAAAAAAAACAACATGACAGATACAGTACGAATAGAATTGTGATACTTTTTGACATTGACAGGAGGGCGCTAGTGTGCTATGATAATTTAGTTTGTCTTTGCCCACCGGGTTAGATATATATAGGTCTGTTACTCTTTTGACAATCGCAATCTTGCAAATATTTTATTCGGTATCTTTTGGGATTGACAAATTCCAATGATCCCACTTTAAGTCAATCACCTAATAATGATCTAAGCTTTATTTTAAAGTCATTAAAAAATAATTAGGAAGTAATTAAACTTTAGTTATGTACACAGTAATGTTAAGTTAACAACGAAACTTATTATAGAAACAGTTAGCTATTTATCTCCGGAATATTTGAGATAAAATTTAACTTATCCATTGTTTGGTTAACGCGAAAATTTCCTTGTTGGTGATTTATGAACACGAATTATTCTACACCATTGTTAAATAAAGTTTTCATAGCTTTTTCCTTTTTATGTTTAATACAAACTACGGAGGTTATAAAAAACCTTTTATTTATTTTAATTGCAGCCAGCACTTTTAAAGTACGAAGAACTGTCTTAGGTAAAGGGAAGTCGTTGCTTTGTAACTGTCATTTACAATATCGTGATCTCAAAGGTAACAAAGTATGCATTCGTAATTCGAGGAATGACATCATTGGTAATGTTACCTTTTATTTAGCTACAAGCTGTCGCCTGTGACTCCATCCGCGCGGATTTAGAAAAAAACATAATTAGACTTAGTCTATATGTATGGCAAATTTCAGCGAGATCTATACAGCCGTTATGGAGATACCTTCAAACAAACATCTGTACATCCAAACATTCGCATTTATAATAGAGTTAAATACTACGACATTGATTTACGGTTTACGAGGATAAATTATTTAATTTACCCAAATATACTAAAGAAATGTCTTACCGTGGGTTTTTACTGCTACTCTAGTAAAAATGTATTGTTTTTTTAAGTGAATGAAATTGTTGCCAATCTATGTTTCGTACAGATAATCC